TGATGATGATGATGATGATGATGATGATGATGATGATGATGATGATGATGATAAAGTTGAAAGGGATCTTGGAGGTCATCTAGTCCAACCCCATTAGATTTTGCCAATGAACAAAAAATGATGATAAACAAAGGAAAAAGTAGAGGAGAGAATAGAGAGAAAAATAAGAAATAGAGCTGCAGTAAAATAAAAATATATAAAAAGAACAAAGATACAGAAAAAAGAATGACTTATATGACTCCTTTTATAGCGAATGCAAACACAAGTTCAATTGTTACTCTAAAAAATAACATCCATTTTTATAGTATATGAATATTGCTAGTCATCAAATCTATATATTGTAATTTAATTTGGACAGATATTTCAGGGATCCCAATTTAGATCACAGTCAAAAGTTTAAGTGACTTGCTTAGTTGCTCCTATGGCAGGAAGAATCCAGCTATAACTAAGCTCATTTGCAGTTCATCTCAAAAATCCTGATCTGCCAAGGAACATAAATCCTTTCTATTTGTTTATTAAATTTGTAAACATTCTGCTATAAAGGCTACTTCTTTACATTGATTTAATAATATTGTTTTGTCTACATTTCAATTATTCTACTGTATGGACAGTATGTGGCAGCAGCTTTTTTCCACAAGTACGGTATACTAAATTTTGTTTGTCCGAACTACTTGTTTCCTGTACATACCTTGGATTGACCCAAAAGAAATGAAAGGATCATAATATTATTTTTGCTCTTTATAAATATTTTTTTTAATCAAAATAGATGGATATCTCACACAGCACACTTTCCTAACCAGCCAGATGTCTGAATCGCCATGGCATCAAAGGAACCCATCAGTGAGCCCCCCACGTTTCATTCTATTTTACTGTCCACATGATTACTCAGGCTTACAAGACGGAACGAAATGTATAGTGAATGTATATATGAAAAGTATAACATGCCTTAGCTTTAAGGCAAAACTTGTAACGTGAAGTACTTTAGCACTGAGCTGAGAGAGGCAACCCTAAGAGAAGAAAACATAAGTAAATCTAGGTTAGCTAAGAAAGACTAGAGTTACTTAAACTGTACTTTTTACTGTTAAGACTACCAGAACTCTAGAGCCGTGATGGCGAACCTACGGCACGGGTGCCAGAGGCGGCACTCAGAGCCCTCTCTGTGGGCACGCATGCCGTCATCCCAGTCCTAGGCCTTCAGCTGGGTTTTATAAATCCTTCTCACTTTAGGCCTCCGCCGCTGTGTGCAAACAAAAAAAAAGATTCAATCAATCAGTCAATTTCAACTTCTCATGGGAAAAAAAAGATCTTGAAAAGTTGGAATTGATTGATTGAACTTTTTAGTCCCACCCAGTCTGCTGTTACCACCACAGCCACACCCACCCAATGGGCCACACCCACACAATGGGCCACACCCACCCGGCAGCCGGCGATGCATAATTGGGTTTTGGGTTGCAGTTTGGGCACTCGGTCTCTAAAAAGTTCGCCATCACTGGTCTAGAGCATCTGGGATGGTCCTGAGATGCTTGAATTTCAGCTTTCAACAACTCCACAGCATGCACAGATCATGCTAGCTGAAGAACACATGAAAGTAGCAGTCTAATATATATGAAGGGAACCCATTGGGAAAGGGAGTTTTAGTTTGGCCTTTATTTAATGTTTGTCACAAAACTAATTAGGAATTTCTCCAGATTTCTGCCAGTTTCATCTCACAGCATTCCTGGAGATGATTTGCAAACCAATTGAAAGAAAGCATTGTAACATGGTCTTGCACTTTGGGAAGATGGGGAGGTGAAGAGCCATATTATTCATCACATCATACTGTGTAACAATAAGTGTTTTATAATCCTAATATAATTATGTTCTGTATGAAACTCTTTAGGAGAAAAAAAATTAACTGGAACTAAATAAACTGGATTTTACTTTCTTACAAAGGCAGGCACTAGACACAATTATGGACCCTTATGAGAATCGAAGTGCTTTCTTAGCCCAATTTCACTAGCAGCTATCACTTTAAAAGAAACCCAGCTTTGAGAAATGTCTTGGCATGAAACTTAAAGTCAAGTTTCAGAAGGTCATATATAAGATCTTTTTATGTAATCTTTCTGATTCCACATAATTTGTGAATTGCATATCTCAAAGTATCCAGAAGAACGTCTGTGGAGATTCTCAGTCATCAAGGTCATGGTTGTCCCAAACATGCTTTTTCAAGAGGCAACTGGACTTCATTTTTCTTTGAAGACATTTCACTTCTCATCCAAGAAGCTTCTTTAGCTCTGACTGGATGGTGGGGAGCTGAAGAAGTTTCTTGGATGAGAAGCAAAAAGTCTTCAGAGAAAAACAAGAAAGTCCAGTTGCCTCTTGAAAAAGTACCTTTGGGACTACCCAGAAGAACATTTGTAACTCTTAAAGTATTAGACTAGAACTGAGAACTGAGACAACGCCACTGTCAATCATGGAAATCACTGACTAGCTTTAGGCCAGTCACTCTCTCCCAGCCTTACCTGCCACACAGGGAGACAGAAGTTCTATGTATATTGCTTTCAGTTCTGGATGGAAGGCTAGATAAAAATTTTAAAAGCACATATAAATAACCCAGAATCTACTTTTGCTGAAGAATTCCCATACATAAACAAAAATCCAGGTTTTCAATTGAATTCAAAATCCAAACCTAACCATTTATATTTTGTGCCATAATTATGATAGTACAGGTAGTCTTCAACTTACAATCACAACTGAGCCCAAAATGTATGTTAAGTGAGTTTTGCCCTAATTTATGATCTTCCTTGCCACAGTTGTTAAGTGAATCACTGTAATGGTTAAGTTAGTAACATAGTGGTTAAGTGAATTTGGTTTGCCCATTGACTTTGCTTCTCAAAAAGTCACAAAAGATTATCACATGACCCCAGGACACTGCAACTGTCACAAATGAGTCAGTTGGCAAACGCCTGAATTTTGATCACATCACCATGGAGATGCTGCAATATCATAAGTATTAAAAAAATGGTCATAAGTCACTTTTTTCAGTGCTGCTGTAATTTTGAACGGTCACTAAATGAACTGTTGTAAATTGAGAACTACCTATATGAAACACAAATCATATCCAGTAAAGGTTAAATCAATCAATGACAAAGCATTAGGAGTTGTAATAAATGTGTTGTTGGTTACCAAAATTCCTGCACTACAACATTCTTTTCACACTTCAATGCAAAGGATGTCTCCTTTTGTTTATATAATACGAACATATTATTACATAACAATTTTAAATTAGAAAAAAGGTTCACCTGCTAGTAATCAAAGTGAAAACATCATATTAGCACCATATTAATCTTGTTAGCAGGCTTTGAATTGTCATCAGTTGCTGTGAAGCATTATTCATGAATTGAATTAGATGTACTAAGGAAACAACTTTTTTTAAACTATCAAAAAAAAATCTGGTCACTTTGTAATGTTCCTAGCTCATTGGCTGTTTCATATATTAGCAGTAATAGGACACAAACCAGTTTAGAATATTCAGTTTAATTTCTGGTGCCTAATTTAATTTTACAATTTAAATTTAATTTCTGTTGTACTAGTTGTCTTTGATCTTTATGCTGGTAATATATACAAAACAATAAGAATCAGAATACAAGAGAAAAGAATAAGTAAAGCTTAAGTAAAAGAGTGATGTAACAGTAGAGATATAGTAGAATCAAGGAGGTACAGCTTCAAGTCCAACCCCAATTGTGGATGATTTTGGTACAGATATTATGCCCAATCTACCTCACAATTTTATTGTGATGGGAAGAAATGGGAGGAAGGAGTGTTGTATATTCAACTTCAAACTGCTGGATAAAAGGCAGGATCTAATTCTAATTACACACACTATAAAAGAAAAAAATAAATTAAATGAGAATTACTTACCATCTTCTGTACTATTCCCAATAATGTTCCAGGAAGATGGAATCTCTTCATAGGCCATGGCTAGCATAACATCACGATCCATTGACTGCAAATCTCTTTCGATCAAATCAAACTGACTGAGAAGTGTGTGATGACTAGAGGGAGTCAGACAGTTGGCCTTGCTCACCAAAAAACACGCTAATTCACATGCAATGTCATGCTTGAAGGTAATAGATGAGGAGCCCAGAATCAGAAATTCACTTTCCTTTCCATACATAACCACAAAGACAGAAACATCTTCTTGTTCTCTATGAGCTGAAAAAGTATAACAGTTAAATGTTATATACTCAATACATGCCTCTACAAAAATATAATTTATTGCCATTTTTAAAAGTATGAGAAATTGGAATTAAAGTAAGATTCCATTCTCATATACTATATGTGCAGGGAAAAAAATAAACAATTGATAGTATTCATCATATAATATACATATATATATACACTTGACTAAAAATACATAGGCAATGCATAGTAGCATTAGAAGTAACAGAAAGGTCGATATATTTTTCAGAGGTTGATATATTTTTCCGTTGTCAGTTGCCTTACATTGCTCCTTTTTATTCAGTGCAGTCTGCATTGTCCCCTTGAATTGGGATGCAAGTGTTATTAATATCCAGCCAAAACACCAACTGGTCCAGGCAGAAAAACATGCCAGAAGAACATGCCACATTATGTTAGCTGAGAATTCTGGAATTTATGGTTAAAACATACATAGAGTTGCCCCATCAGCAAAGGTGCTGTTATTAATACAAACACAAAGGTTTGTATTACATGAGCTTTATCTGATCACCAATGTGACACAGTATGCCAGGTTGCGACTGCCTGGCCGTGCACCTGATAACTACAGAATCCAGGTTGGTCTATATCCCCTTTACTAGAAGATAAAAAAATAGGGTAGATAATGCATCAGAACAATATAGGATTGATTTTCAAGGAGAAAAATCCATCAATGTGGCCAGTAGGAGTCAAGAATGACTTAATAGCACATCATAAATCAATCAATCAATGCTTGAGGAAATAGCTAACAAAAAACTATAAAAAATAGCAAATTTTATAAGTCATGTTTTTATGAGGCTTTAGATTGGAATATTCAAATACTTTGGTCACCTAATGAGAAGGAATGACTCACTGCAGAAGAGCCTAATGCTGGGAAAGATTGAGGGCAATAGAAGAAAGGGACAACAGAGAATGAGGTGGCTGGATGGAGTCACTGAAGCAGTAAGCGTGAGCTTAAATGGACTCCAGAAGATGGTAGAGGACAGGAAGGCCTGGAGGAACATTGTCCATGGAGTCACAATGGGCCGGACACGACTTTGCAACTAACAACAACAGATTGGAATATATATTGTAAATAAAAGGTTTTTATTACTGATGCTTTAAATGGTATATATTAAGTAGGATCATAAATAATGCTTGGACTTGGAGAAGAAGAAACTAAGCAATGTGGAGAATTGTAGTACTCCTAAGAATTAGTACTCCTAAGAAAATGTTACACATTTTGGGAAACTCAAATGCCATTTGTTGCTATGCTCAGCCAGTTATCTGGAAACAAACCTTACATCCTAGCCCAGCAACTGTATGTGAGAAACAAAAATATAGAATTTTTGTCCCTCCCTTGCTGCTGTTTGGCTTCCGTTGTGATGATAATTAAATAATCAATCATTAATAGCCCTTCCAAAAAGAGATTAAAATGCTGCAATAGGAAAACAAATGGACAATGTAGCAGAGCTATGCTACTCACCTGGAATGATAGATTCAAGAGTGTTTTCAGTAACTTGCTTAGCAAAAACCACATGTTTCTGTATTGATCCTTTGTAAACAAAGTAAAATTCAGCCTCCTCTGGAAGAATGTGGTCAAACTTTCCATATATAATAGTTTCTCCCTAGAAAATGGACATTTTTAATGCTATATCACATAATATAAATATTTGTAATTACAGAGAGCTGGCAATACAGACTGGGCATATTCTATTTAACATGGTTAAAGTTTTCACACTGAAATCAGTGAGGTGGAAAATGTTTATTTGTAGACAGATTATGATAAAAGTTTTGCAGTTCAAACCAGGATTTACAAAACTATAAACAAATTACACTTTTTCTGAGCAACTGAAATTAACAAACCAAAAACAACCCCATTTCAAAATAATGAAATATACAAGAGAGCAATAACAAAGAATCAGATCTGTTTGGGGGAAGAAGTATAGATGGAGCTGTGTTTCCTTAAAAGAAGAACTGCATACTTGTTGCTACTGTTACTTTTAATAATATAGTCAGGGCTTTTTTTGTCATAGAACGCCCAGAATGGAGTTCCAGCACCTTTTTTGGATGGAACCTTGTAGGGTAGGCAAGCGGCTGTATGACATGTGTGAGTTCCAGCACTTTTTTTTTTTTTACAAAAAAAGCACTGAATATAGTCAATAGTCAACAAAATTGTCCTCCTCTGACTGTAGCAACTTGTTAACAAGAAAAGAAACAAAAACAAATACTTCAAAATATCTTTTTAGCACACAGGCCTTCAACTCAATTCCCCTGGATCAAAAGTCTTTACTTTTCAGAGAAAAACTATTTGAAACAAAATGCCAATAGTGGACAGTGTCAGATATTCCCTCCTCTTCCTTAAAATCCCCTCTATAATAATACATATTTTCTTATTCACGCATTTCAGAATACTAAGAGAAAATGTATTTAATTAGGGTTCACACATTACAATATGCTATGTGCTGTATGTTTCTTTTACCTATATTTTACTGAATAAGCAAGTATGGCTGGATTCATACAATCTACTAAGGCAAAACCAAACAAATAACTTCTGATGGTGTAAAATTTCATGGCTGGCATCAATGAAGCAGTGATGAGCTTTTGGGCTAGATGCCTGTGGTCCCCTTTTCTTTTGTTCTAAAACAAGAAAACTAGACTATGGCTATCCAGGCTGAAAGCTCATCGCTGCTTCAAATAATATTTGGGCTTACAGTGTGAAAACATGCATGCATTAATAGGTATATGTATGTAACCAATTGATGTGTATGAATCAGTGGGCATTCATTAAGAGATTCCATCACACCCAACATATATACTTAACCACATTTGATATGATTTGAAAAGCAAAGCCACAAAGAACTCTCTGGAACACCTAAAATTAGACTGCGTGCCATGTATTTCTACTATTGTTTTAAATAGAAATTAACTTAAATAGGACTTTGGGACTGTTTGCTGAAGTAAAGAGAAAATCTAGTATTTAAACACTAAGCAAGCACTAAGTAGAACATATCTTTTTATGTATGAATTATTAGGTTCAGGGTATACATAAAACCAAATTATGTATTTCCCTTGTCTCCAGATAACAATACAAGTGCACCAATATTACACTGTTTTTCTAACCTCTGCAAGTGCCAATTATGAAATGTAGGCAGGACTCCATGTCATCCCAGCTATTCTTTAATTAAAACATTACTGAAGAGTACAGCCACAGTCTTTTTGAACCAAGCTGGACAATGGATAAGACTGACAAACCTTGGCATGAAAGCATAAGGCTCCATCACTCTACAGGCAACACCCAGGTCTAGCTTTACTTCTGATGCAAAGTTGGTCTTGCTTATTTGCTATTTGGGTGTGATGGGTGAACAGGATACAAAAGAACTAACTGATAATGAATCAGATGAAACTTAGGAAATGACGACTGACAAACTTTATGAACAGGAGTAATCATCACCAAGAAATTAAATCTTTCATATATTATGCCTTAGTATGCTCTGGTCCCTTTTTTTCTGAAAATAGATTGTATTACTAATAAAACAGATTATATTATTCCATCAAATGAAACCAAAGTTCATTTATAGAAAAGACATTTCCAAATGTGCATTTTCCAGGAAAAAAACATTTTTGAATGAGGTTTATTTTACCCATTTTAGCCAAGTTGAAATTCTAACTATTCTAAATAAAATTCAGGATAGTAATTTCTATGCAGGGATCTCTAAAACATCCAGAATGTTGTTTTTTTTTGCAGTTAGCACAGTATGCATGTGTAAAGTTTGTACATTACACATCTAGAAATAAATATCAAATCAAGTGCATAACTGGAAATTTAGGAGAGGACAATCACAACTTGACAAAAAAAGTCAATGCAAGTGTCTAAAGCAGTGGTGACTAACCTATGGCACTCACGCGTGCCAGAGGCGGCACTCAGAGCCCTCTCTGTGGGCACACGTGGCGTCGCCTAAGCCCCGCCTCCCCCCATGCCCCCCTCCTCACCAGCAGCCCTCCTGGAGGAGAGTTGCCCCCGGCACGGTCCATGCAGAGCAGCGCAGCCAAGAACATGACAGCTGGGCAGCAGGGACAAGACTCCGCCCTCACGCCCCATCGTGCGCAGTTGATGCTGCGGGGCGTGGGTGAAGGGCGTGGCTACCATGGCGCTGCAGGGCCGTCTGGGCGATCTGCTGCGGCGGGCCGTGGAGGCGGTAGGTGGCCCTGTGGGCGAGTGGGGTGGGGGCAGAGTGAGCAGGGGGCGTTTTTGGGGCACTCGGTGTCTAAAAGTTTCGCCATCACTGGTCTAAAGTGTTTTTGATGAAATGTAACAAAGTTTAAAGTTTTCACTTATTCCATGGCCTTTGATAGGAAAATGAAAGCTAAATGAACTGAATAGAGTATTAACAGAAGATCATGTTTTACAACAGAAAACTAAAACTAGACTAAAGTACTATAAAAGATAAGTGAAGTGAAGATAAGTGAAGAGTGAACAATTAATGGAAAACCACTGAGAACATTTCTGAGGTACAGACTCTTGCAGGAACTTAATATATTTACTAAATACATTCAAATAAAAACCCCAATATAATTTCCATTATTATTATGGTTACTCGCACAGTCAGTCAGATGTTTAGACTGGATTTGGCATTTTTATCAACCTACTGAGTCCTTCCAAAGGACCCAGGATAAGCAGATGTTGATGTTTCATTGTGTTAAAGGTATCATTGCAGGATGTAAACTATTCCAAGTAAAGCTGCCTTTTGCAATTGACTGATGGTGATTTTGTCAATGTCAATGGTGTTTAAGTGGTGCTCCAGTTGTTTTGAGATTGCACCAAGGCACCTATTACTATTGATACTACTTTTGCTTTCTTTTGCCACAGTCATTCCATTTCTATTTGCAGATCTTTGTACTTTGTTATCTTTTCCAGTTCTTTCTCTTCTATTGTGCTATCTCCAGATATTGCAATGTCCACTACCCAGACTTTTTTGTCTTTCTTATCAACAATGTTTAGTCTGGGATATTATGTGGCAGATGTCTGTCTGTTTGAAATCTAAAATCTTGAAGCACATTAGCTTCTTCATTTTCTATTATTTTCTCTATTTTATAATCCCACCAGTTCTTCCTTGGAAGCAAATGATATTTCTTACAGATCTTCCAATACACTATTATTACTATGTCATGCCATTGCTTGTAGTCAGCTTGAATAATCTTCTTGCAGTAACTAACCAGGTGGTCCACTGTTTCCTCAGCATCTTTGTAGAGGCAGCATTTGTTGACTGTTATTGTCTTCTCAATTCTGACTTTGTATTCATTTGTTCTTAAGCCTTGTTCCCTGCATCTCTTTCTTCAGCTTTCCTGCTCTTAGCCATTGCCAGGTCTTGTTGTTATCTACTCTGCCTGCTATATTTTTTATGTACTGGCCATGTAATAGGTTGACTTGCCATGTCTCTTTTCTGTTTTTAATTTGGTCTTTCTTGTAGGCCAGGTTGGTCTCTCAGTAAGCCTTCCTGGTATATTAGCATCAATGTATCTTCTTCACTGTCCTTCAGATATTCTTACAAAGCCTTTTTTCTTCAACTATATTTATTTATTTATTTATTATTTATTTATTTATTAATTTAATTTATATCCCGCCCTTCTCCTTCCGGACTCAGGGCGGCTAACAACCAGATAAAACACTAATCCCCAAAAAACTACAAATTTAAAAACATAAGTAAAATCAAATATTAATAATTTGGTCGAATTAATTTAAAAATTGCTTTAAAACCCCATTAAAATTTTCCCCTAGGCCAGTCCT